GCAGCCGGGCCTGCTCTTCAAGGAGCTGATGCTTCTTCTGCTCGCAGCGGTGGCCTAGAGCCAGGTTTCGATCACGATGCCAACGGGAGCCGTCAAAGCTGTTGGAAGGGTGCAGGAAAGGGGGGAGTTTCCGAGTCTGCGATGAAAGTCCACGAGTCATGATCTGGAGGTCCTGTTTTGCCTTCTCGTAAGGTCGCAGTACAACATGTACAACGCTGGCCTTCATCTGAGAGACGCAAGTTCAGTCGACCCACGGTTCCAAGAACACTGAAGCTCCCGAATGCCGAAATCTCTAATTACTCTTCAATCCAAAGCCGCGCATCTCGTCTCGGAGAATGAGCAGAGGGCCCTGCACTCGTCCTGCAGCTTGACTTTCTGCCTTGGTCACGGACGGCCACAGTGATTCGCAACCGTCTACTGTTGCGGCTCGCGTTCCGAGTTACTAGCCTCCTGAATACTATTGTACTTCACATGGTTCGTCGCAAGGTGCTCGCAGTTGCAGGGTTTAGGGGTGTTCCAAGTTGACATCGTTTGGCTGTCTGATCTTTTCTTCTCATGTGGCTTGCCATCTCAGGGGTTGGCATCGAGCATTGCAGGTTTGCCGAGAAGCTCTTCGACGTCTTTCCGCTTGAGCATCCGCACCCACCAGGCCAAACACACAGAATGACATCCATGCGGGAACTGAGCCATACGAGCTGTTAGCGTCCAAGCCTCTTGCCCGCGGCCCCTGCAATCGTCAACAATAAGAGACGGAGTTTGCATGGCTTCTTGAGCCAATGAGCAATGCATCACCAGCAGCTGCATCATCGTTACCACCTCCACCACCAGGAACAGCATGGACGCCAGATTTCCACTTCTGGGGCCCAGCCCGAAACCAGTTGAAGCACCGAAAATCTGAGGAGGTTGCTGGAGACGAAGTTCCTGTTTCAGAGCCTGCATCAAGTCAAGGCTGTGTGATTGCTGGAATCATGGGTCAGGGGATGTCAAGCACCAACCCTATCATGTGGGAGGGAAAGAGCTCAGGGTCTGAGTTCAATGTTTGGGTTCGTGGGTTCGCTTGACGGTGAAGGTTCTCAATGACCTGGCTGACCTCTGCTGCGCACAGTGCGTCACCACCGACCCACGACTCGTCTCTTGAAGAGCCACGGCACTTGCAACATAGCATCCACGTCTACAGGTCCCTGAGCATGATAAGTCTGATACGTCCCATACATCAAAACAGCAGTCTCTGCACGTGCACGGCATGAGGAACACTCGAAGTCTATCGAACGGCAATAAACAGCAAAAGGACACCATCTCCCCCGACCCCGTACTCCACCCTACGACGCCTTGTTCGGTGGACTAAACAAAGTTCCGAACCAGATTGCCACCAACAGCGACCACAAATCCTAAACCCATTCACAATGTCATCCAGTGTTGAGAAGTGTCAGCAAACAGCCATGGTAACATGCACTAGCTTTAGGTCTGAAATAAGTGAGCCTGGTGTCCCCGTCTGATATGCGTTGAATCCCCTTCGTTCGTAGAGCCTTGCCTTCAACATGACGAGACTCTGAGGGTTTCAATGGCTTGGGCTACCAAGCTGGTGGCCTCGTCCCGCTGCGCTGCCTGGAACTGCGAGGACGCTGGCTCTACAAATGGAAGAATGCAACTCACCCTGCAAGCAGAGTCCACCTGCGCCAAGGCCGCTTCTGCTTCCGCTCTCCTCTGCTCTGCCTCATAGCGAAGCTTTGCACCGGAACATGGGCCTGGCAACCTGCCCCTCAAGTGTCGGAGTACAGTTATCGGACGAGAGCAGGCAATAGACTCTACGGTTCACCGTGCCAGACCAAGCCAGAGAAAGAGATCGATTATTTCCAGTGTGGCCTTTGACAGTGGGGGTTCTGTACCAATCTCCGTTTGGGTCCCTGCTTCTAGTCGGCCCCTAGTGCTAAAGGCCGCCTTGAGGGGAGTCAGTAGTTCGAGTAACGCTTCAGAAATGCAGCAACAGCAAGCGCAGGATCACTGGGACGCAGGCAACCCCTCGAGCGAGCCGGGTCGCCTCCTGGTCGTGCGTCTGGGGTCTACGTCTTGGAGGTTGAGGAATGGACCACCTGAATAGAGTCGTATTTCCCGAGATTCCTCTCAAAAGGTGCTCTTCTTCAACACACCGTTTACCATGAACACGAAGGGAAGACTGCTCGCCTCGGCTGTATTGACTGTGATCTAATCGGCTCGGATGCTGGCATGCTGTGCGTACTACTGTATCAAACTCAAGAAAAGCCTGAAGAATGCCGTCGAAACCCGACATGCTAATGTTACACCCCACACCCTTAAACCCAAAACCCTTCAGCATCTTATCCCGTCCTCCACGCGCTGGAGGCGGCTTGTGCCGGCTTGGAGCTCTGCCTGCATCTGCTGCACTTCGGCCTGTGGGACTCTGGGAGGCAGGGTGATGCGCTTTGGGCTGCGGGGGTTTCCAGCACATGATTCAACGTTTTGGTTTTTTTCAGAGTTCAGGGTCATTTGGTGTAAAGATTAGGGTTATGGTAGGCAAGTGGAGTTTAGGGATATAGTTATAGTCATAGGGTTTAGGAACATGTCGAAATTTTAGGCTTATGGTCGTGGGTTGAGGGTTCTAGCTTGCTACTCTTACTGGTGCTGCTGCTTTCACTTTGGGCTATGGTACTCGCCTCTGAAAGGCATCGGAGAAGTACCTAGAGCCTCAAACTAACACCAAAGCCAAACCTGAGCCGAAACCCGGCAAACATGTGCCGGGTCTGGGGTTCAGGGGCCATCGCTTAAGGGGTTCAGGGTTCGGATGCCCTACAGCCTGCACGTACATAAACTTTCGAAGGACGTGAGCAATGCGACGAATCCCGCTCAAGGAAGCTCGTTTGACGCCAAGGCTGCCAAAGCGAAAAAAGATCTCCAAAGCGAGCCAGCGAGCAGTTTAAAGTCGCAATCGGCAATGCGGCGCCGAAATAACCCTAAACCCGAGACCCTCGAAGGCAAGCCTTGAGTGCTTCGCCCTCCGTCGCGAGCTGCTGGGTTTCCTCTCAGAAAGTTCCGGGATGATTTCGGGCTTCAGCCATTTCAGAGTCTTTTCAACCTTCAAGGTTACTTCAAGGTTGAAAGCTTGAAGTTTCACGGGTTTTGGGGGCACCAGTGGTTACCTTATACACCGACTAGTCTGCAAGCACAAGTCCTCAGCCAGCATGGCGTGCTTGGAGCCTTCGGCAAGGGTGGCTGCTTCGCTTTGGAGATCTGGGTATCGAGTTGATGTGAAGGTTGTTCTGCATAATCTTTACGTCTTTGAGCAATCTGCATTCGTTGTCGATTCTCAATGTCGCAATAGCACGTGGCCCGGTGACTTCCGGCCCTCATCGTTTGTGGAAGCGCCAGCACAGATGGTGTGCTGACGAGGGATCTATGGCGACGCCGCATGAGTTCTGAATGACAAGGAGTGGCAGCATCTGGCCGCATACATTGCGCAGCCAGCTCCGCTCTCTCTTCTCAGGGCATGGCTGAGGCTCTTGATGCTGGCCTCTCGCGGGTTGTGATGTGTCTGGTCTTCGGAAATATCAGGTTTTGCAAGCTTCACAAATATCATCGCGGCCAAGAAATTTGGCTTCGTCAGTAAACGAGGAGCATAGGGGTATGTTTCAGGGTGTGTTTCGGGCGGTCCCGTAGTCGTCGTCGTAGTCGTCGTCATAGCAGCAGCAGTAGCAGCAGAAGTAGCAGTATTTGGAGTTATAGTAGTAATACTAACAATACCAATAGCAGCAGCAGCAGCAGCAGTAGCAGAAGTGGTACTGGTAGTGGTAATGGTAGTGGTAGCCGTCGTAGTCGTCGTCGTAGTAGTAGTAGTAGTAGTCGTAGTCGCAGTACGGTGGATGGAGGAAATCTTGCACCACCTACACATACTGTTTCGAGTACACATCAAAACAACAACCCCGCGCCCGCTTTTTTAACATTGACGACAGATTTGTTGGGGCGGTGCAAGAGATTGTGTAAAACCCCGTGTTCATAGCAATGTTAAGAAGGGGGCACGGGGTGAAGCTTCATAACATATCTTAAAAGCGGTGCAAGATTTCCGACATTCACAGTCGTAGTAGAAGAAGTCGTAGTAGAAGTAGTAGAAGGAGTAGGAGGAGTAGAAGTAGTAGAAGTAGTAGAAGGAGTAGAGGTAGTAGTAGTAGTGGTCGTGGTGGTGGTGGTGGTGGTGGTGGTGGGGTAGTGGTAGTGGTAGTGGTGGTATTGGTGGTAGTGGCAGTGGTGGTAGTGGCAGTGGCAGTGGCAGTGGCAGTGGCAGTGGTAGTGGTAGTGGTAGTGGTAGTGGTAGTAGTAGAAGTAGTAAAAGTAGCAGCAGTAGAAGTCGTCGTCGTAGTAGTCGTAGTACTAGTGCTGGAATGGTTGTGGGTTGTAGGTCCGAAAGTAGTATATAGCTTCAGCGAGGCCACGACAAATGGGCCACCTGGAGCAAATTCAGGTACGTTGCAGGTATGTTGCGGAAAACCTTTGCCGTGTTGTGCTTATCTAGACCTTCGCTCGTCGCGAGCTTCATCCACACGATTTGGAAGAAACGAGGGTATGTTTCAGGGTATGTTTAGCTTACATCCAACTTCTCTCCAAGATTACAAATGGAACCCTCCGGAAACTGCCAGACCAAATAGATCCGTTGTGCTATCTTTGCACGGGCTATGCCTGGAGATGGAGCACGTTGCCATTCTGTGGTACATTGCTTTGGCTTCCGATCAGGTAATGCTTCATAAGCTCAAGGGGGCAGAGTATTAACTTGCCCTGTGCCTGGCAGACCCTAATCCCAAACCTGAGAGACAAGTATTCCTAAGCCTGGCTTTGCTCTGCCCTGGAACTGAGGCTGCAATGTGTCCGGCAATGAGTCGGACGTAAGATGGCGGCTGTCAGCCTTCACAAAGGGCCCCTTGAGGGAAGTGATGCCATGACTGAGGCCAGGCTGCAGCGGCTTTGTTGTCGCACTTTCGCGACTCTGAGAGAGTGGATCACCGCTTCCCCTTGGAGGGACTGGCGATAAATGGCGACAGTAATCCTGCCACGTAAGTGCGGGCGGCAGCCTCTGCCTGACCTGTCGGCGCATTCTCCTCGCTGTCTAGGCCTAGGCTACATTTCTCATATTTCTCCTTGGGTTCGCTGCCGACCTCCTCTTCGTCTCCGATGTCGCTCTCGAATGCTTCGCTACACTCGTCCTTATCTCTTTTGCTCGGCCTGTCCGTGGCCAGAAGCTTGGTCATGTCGTCATCCTTTGCATAGTCAGAAGGTATATAACCCATGTCGTCTTCTATGTCTTTGCTGGCCCCGGCCTCGACGAGCACACGAGCCACTGAAAAGAACTTGTGGATAGCTGCGCAATGTAGAGCAGTGTAGCCACCGCATTTGTCCACGCGGTCCAGGCCCACGGGGCCTATTCTGTCAACCACAGCTTGCACTAACAATCGCACGACCTCCACATGGCCAAAGGAACATGCCGTGTTCAACGGAGTCTGGCCGTCCTCGTTCACCTGGTCGACTGCAACCTTTGCATGCAGGAGCCAGCGCACAACCTCGACAGAGTCGTCCACAATCGCACTGGCAAGCGCGGTGGTCCCCATGACCTCCTTATCAGGATCAGCACCAGCCTGCACCAGCAGGCGAACAACTTCCGAGTGCTTGTTTTGGGCTGCCAGGAAGAGTGCAGTGAAGCCATTGTCATCAATACGGTTTGCATCTGCCTTCGAGGTCAATAACATCTGCACGATTTCTTGATGACCTTCACCGCTTGCAGCTATAAGAGCTGTCGCGCCGTCCACAGTTGCAGTATTGGGGTCAACCTTCGCCTCCAAGAGCAATCGAACAACCTCCAGGTTGCCCTCAGAGCATTCGCTGTGGAGCAACTCGTTTCCTTGAGGACCTGGACCAGTACCAGCACCAGCATGCACCAGCAGCCGTGCAATGTCAATTTGCATTTCTTGAAAGGCACCGACCAAAGGTGTGCAGTCATTGCTGTCCGCCTTGTTTAAATCTGCTCTGGCGGCCAGGAGCCAGCGGACCATGTCCTCCCCACCTTCGCGAGACACGGCAAGCAGGGGTGTGACGCCATCATGGTCGGCCATGTCCATATCAGCACGAGCTTCCAAGAGCAACTGCACAATGTCTGTGTAGCCATCTTGAGATGCCTGCATCAGAGCTGTTTTGCCGTCGGCAGTAGTTGCATTTGGGTCTATGGACCGCTGCAAGACTTTTTCCACGTCCTCGACAGAGCCATCGCAAGGGGAATAAACGAGCTCCTCGATCTCGTCTTCCGAAGCTGCGCAGAACGTCACTAAGACCAGAAGCACACTCTCCATTGAAGTGTCAAGGCACATGTCTTCCTCCAAAGCACTGCCGTCGTGCAGAATCTTCTGCCGAAAACGCGGAACACCGCAGATCTTCTGCAAGTCTTTTTTCAGACTCTGGACAGTGCTTAAATCTGCAGTAGGGATGGCGGCCAGTTCCTCACCGGATGGCATGAGAACATGAAGCATGCTTGGGCAGTGGATCTAGATCGTGCCCGCGCCCACTCTTGACGAGCCGCACGCTGCGGGCTGCAAATCGCAAGTCGCGTCACAAGCAGACTTTAGCCCGTGCGGCAGTCTATGACACATAAACGACCCTGAACCCCAATTCCACAGCAGCACCCCCCCGTCTCTGACTCATGAAGCCACGACGACCCAACCTCTTCAGCATCATCGGAGCGGGCATTAGTTGTGGTGTCGTAAAATCGGATCGAGAAGGCTGCAAGCTTCGTGCTCATCGCAAGAAGAGTAGTGCGTTGCACAGCCTGTGAATCATCATCAGCATTCATTCCTGATACAGCTCATGCCAACAGATGACGAGGTTCGGCGGAATCCTGATGATGACTACTACGATGTGCGCGAATAATGCCATTATCCTGAAACTGTCCAGGTTTAATCGAGCTTAGGCTTCGCTACCTTACCATCGTGGCTGTCACATTCTCCGTGCTGTGACGGTCAAAGTATGTCAGTCTTACACTAGCCGTAAAAGACAAGGCCTGGCCTGGGAGACTTGTCGGACCCCCCTGGAAAGTACAGACCTGGCAAGCTCATGAAAGTCAAGGCTTGTCTGTTTAGATAGCAGGGCTGTGTCAACAAGCTTCAGAAATTCAATATAGGATTCCCTTTGAAGTGCTTGGTTTGCGAGGAGCTTCTTGCCATGAAGACAACTTTCCGCACAAGCAGCAAGGTGTCCGAGCCAAACAACGATTCCTTCTATGAGTGAGTTTATGCCTGATTTGTCGGGTCAGGCTTCGTCGGCTCGGTATTTCATGGAGGGGAGTTGGCCATAATGTATATATATATATATATATATATATGTATATTTTCTGAGAAGAGCGATAGAGAGACAGAGAGAGAGAGAGAGAGAGACAGAACAGTGCGTGTCTTTGTGAGTGTGCGACTGGGTGTATCTTTACGGGGGTCTTTGCACTGCGACCCAGTATGTTGCGCGGTACGCATTGTGCCTCAAATATTTCATGAGCAATCTTTCTACCCCACTACCGTAATACACAGGCGTAGCCATCAAACCTCTACATACCCACCCACATACACACATACGCACCGCTTTATGTTTGGTGCTTCAGTTGCAGCACTGTAACTTTTTTGGACACGTGTGTCATTCCTAGGAGAGCTCTCACTAAGGTTGGAAACGGGAGAAACATTGGTGTCAAGCTATGATTAAGGCTAACGCTTCTATGCATAGTCTTAGGGATATTGTCACGGCTGATATTCGGGTCACCATTGACAAAACGTTCAAAGACAAGGATAGTGCCAGGGTTGGTGTTGTTCGGAATCAAGAGCTAAACAAGGATCATTGTCAGCACTACGTTTTCCACTGCAAGTTTCATTTGGAGGTACGCACAAAAGATGTACGAACACGCATACACGCAAGTCCGCAATGAGCGGATATTACAACAACAAGGGGGTACCGTATGCAATATGTTAAGGTACGCCAACAAAAACTTTTCATCTAAGGGCCGCGGGGGCAACACCACAGCTAAGACGGCCAGCGATCACGGTTATTAAAACACTTTCTTTGGTTTAATGTTAGCATAAGTATGACGGCTACCGTTGGGTCCATATTTTGGCCGATATTTGGCTCGCCGGTATTAACACCTGAAGTAGGGTCGATCGCACTTTGTCTATAGTCATGCAGGGACATGCAGGGACACTTTCTACATGTCCATGCTACCAACCCATCCAGTGCACAGCGCATCCATGCTCCAACAATGATAACGCCCATGCTACCAACCCATGCATTGGCCAGTGCATCCATGCTCAACTAACGATAACGTGCATGCTGCCAACCCACGCATTGGCCAGTGCAGCCATGCCCAAACCATGGTAGCGCCCATGCACCTGCGTACATACGTCCTTTCGTCCATCCATCCATCCATGCATGCATGCATGCATCCACACTCACTCACGCGCACATCTCTGGGTGAAACATGCTCGACATTGCTCGGAAAAGAGCTACGCCCCAATTGCACCAGGTAGGAAAGCCGAGTACACAAAAAGAGTGCAGCTAGGACTTCAATGGAATCGCGTCGAACTGAGTCGGAGTGACGCCGGAGCCTGAGCCGAGGGTCTCCCGATCGGGTCCTGGGAAGTCGAGCTTCCGACGGTATAGGGGCCCGAATAAATAGCATAGGGTTTTGGGGTATCATATACTAACTCTAATTATAACGCTAGGTTTAAAAAGGATGAGATCGAAGCCTTCGGGGCATGGACATTTTGGGGCTTAGGTGTTCAGCTTGAAGGTAGAGCTCAAGCTTTGGTTTCAGGGTGCCCAAAGCTGACAAGCGGTTTCTCGGAACTTCGATCCTGGGACGGGCATTTTGAGATCGCAAGCCTAGCAACTGTCTTGGATTGTCTTGGCAAAATGCAACTATAGGCCATATACCTGAACCCTGAAGAACTTCTAAGTTGCGTCCGAAACCCACAAACTCCCTAAACATTTTGATCCTCTTATTATACTTAGTATATTATACCCCAAAACCCTCCCATACCTTGGATTCATCAAATTAGGACAATCAAGGACGACATTTCTAATAATCGAGTCTCTCAACAGATTCAGTGCGTCACGCAAATTGCTCTTGAAAGATGGACTGATCTGTCTTCGGACGAAATCAGAAAAGCACTGCCGACCAAACCCGGTCCAATCAAAAGGTTCAAAGCAGCGAAAAATCGTATTACTAAATTTAAGGAGGTCCTTGAAAGATACAAGCAAAATCAGCTTCTTGAAAACACCTTTCGCACGCATTTACTTGAGCCCAAATGGCAAGCATCGGAAGCCTGTGTGTGCTGTCAGAAGTTGTTGAACTTCTCCTCTGAGCCGCGTAACCTTACTCGTAGATGTCCTCAAGCGAAGGATTTCTCTGTACAAACTCTCGACGATTGGTCATTACAATATGACTCGATGCTTAAACGCATTGATGATATCGTCTCTAAACTCAGTTAGGAGGTAAGCTCAAAGATAGCTGAAAGTTCAACGGATGCACAAGTCATCTCCAGATTCTTTCGCACCAGACTCATGTCCGCACAACCCCAAAACCCTATTCTATTTATTAAGGCCCCTATATCAAAATCCCGAAAAAGCCCTTACAGTAACCCTTATGGCCCCTTTAAACGGAACCCTGTTCTATCTGTTCTAATTATTACGGCCCCTACATTAGACCTGCATCCTTAAAAACGCCCCGCCTGCTTCGGAAGCTCTCGCGTAATGGCAGCCATTAGCTGCTCCAGCTCCTCGAAAGCGAGGGATCATGCAGGTCAATTTTGAGGGGCCGTGATGATTAGAAAAGGGTTCCTTTAAAGGGGTCTATAGTAGGATTCTATTATATAGGGGCCTCAATAATTAAAATAGAGTTCCGTTAAAGAGGTCTATTAAGGGACCTTTAAGGGGTCCTATAATGTAGGGGCCTTAATAATTACAATGGGTTTTGGGGTAGACTATAGTTATAATGAAGAACCCCCAAAACAGTATGGGTAATTGTTAAGGTCCCTATATTAACTTGAGCCTTGGGCCAAAGGTTCAATTTCCGGGGGGAAGTCTAAGTTGTGAAATGAAACATGACTGTGCCGGTGGTGGTCGTGGTGGTGGTGGTCATTGGGGGGGTGGCGCGTAGTAGCAGTAGCAGGAGTGGTAGTAGTCGTTGTGGCAGTAGTAGTCGTAGTAGTACTACTAGCTGTAATAGCAGCAGCAGGAGCAGAAGTAATAGTAGTCGTCGCCGGTGCTGTGGCTGTGGCACGAGGACGACGACGGCGACGGCAACTTATCCCGAACACGACTTCGATGACGCCTACTCCTCAGTCCCGTCATACCTGCATGGAAGAAGCCCAGACCGAAAGCGTGGCATGAGTTTCCTGCCTGGTGAAGGCTCTTGCATTCCAGCAGCTTGGCCTTCCTCGGCACAAGCAAAGCTTGTTGGAATTTCGGCTTCAAAGCTCCGGCATGGGCGGTGGGTTACTCGGGGCAGAGATGGTGTAAGTTTAAGCTTTTCTGATAGCGTGGCAGCGGCTGCAAAAGGGCTTCATTTGTGTACCGTCAAAACAACCATCGCAGCCGGTCCCTGCAAGGCCGGTGCAGATCATGCACACACCACTTGGGAGTTCAAGCATGCAAACCTCACCCCGGATCTCTGACAGTCAGAAGGCCTCCCGTCGTCTCGTACTTGGCCGCTGTCGGTGCTTCCGCTAAGGATCCTGACGCCACACGCCACTAGCACCGACGTGCGCGCATTGCCATGCTGCTATGGAGACTGTGAGTCTGCTGGCATATGCTTCTTTAAGCTGCCGAGATAATTCGGAGAAGGCAGGCAAGAAGCCTTTTAAAGAGATGGGGCATACTATACTATGCTGTACTATACTGTACTGTGTTATACTATACTATACCATACTGGACGATACGAAACTATACCATATCATATCACACTCTACTATCTAGCCTGGAGGGAAGACTGATCCAGCTGGACCACGAACTGAACTCGCAGTTAGCCTTGCTGCCTCCGAGCTCAAGAACAGACTACGTCAGAAGGACCCTTCCGGGGGTAAGGGGAAGGCACGGGGCCTTCATAGCCCCAGTAATAGGGACTTGATAAGGGTCTAACGACTTCAGGCATCTCCGACAGAACCGAGTCTTCTGCTTTTCTGCTGATGGGTACAAGGTACTACAAGGGAAAAAGACATGTTCCACAATGGGCACTATGAAAGGTTTTAGATGTTGTTCTACAAGGGTACTTTAAGGGAAATCTCATGGCCACACTTCGACGCAACATTTGGACATAGATCTAAACCAAGTCGAGGAACTACCATCACTCCCACGATAAACCCTTGGATGGGAGCCGGGAAAGGAACAGTGCCCTGCTGACATTGTACTCACAGGGTCGAGTCCTTTTGCCTTTCTCTGAGAGCGCAACCCTCAGACCCTACAAGCTCTAGGACCAAAACCTTGGAAGACCCAATTTCAAAACCCTACGCCTTCAAACCCCAAAGCCCCAGAACTGAAACTCAAAACGCCCCCAAGCTCCGAATGCTCCAAAATCCCGCACCCTAAGCCCGAATTCCTAAGCCGAGTCCTTTCAGGTTCGCTGCGAGGGCCCTGGGCGGTGCCTCGAAGCCTCAAAAGATCTGAGGGCCCTTTTGAGGAACCTAGGGGGTTCAGGGAATCTTAGGGATCAGGGGGGTTGTGGGTTTCTGGCGAGCTTTTGGGGCCGGCGACTGGGGTTTGCAGGGCTCTGCTGAAGATTTGACAGGCTGAGAAAGGCTCTGACAAGTTCAGGTCACAACAGACTTGAAGGCTAGCAGATGCAGATTTGTTTCGGTTTCGGGCTCAAGGCTTTCAAGTGTCGAGGCTTAGTCTAACTTTTTCTCAACATTTCTCAACCGCTCTTTCGACACGTCTGCAACCACGCTCTGGCTCTGACAAGTCTAGCAGCTGGGCACTCCCCAGCAACCCAAATATCTCGATAGGCATCCGGGCGATGAAGTCCCTGAAACTTTCTTGCCCACGACAAGGCCCGCACCCGCTGATCTCGAGGAAGTGCTCAGCACACAGCTCGTCGATCGTTCGCTCAAGCCGCTGGTTGGCCTGACGCCCGTGTATGGCACAGGGTTTTTGGTATTCTGGCGCAGTCGGACCATCAGGCAGCTCAATAAGGTTTTGGCAACAGGGTGACCGACTAGTCAATCGAGTGCAGCTGTATCCTCAAGACCTCACTAGCTCCGGAAAGCTCGGTGATCCCCCTCGTGCGGGCCAGTTGCAGCTGCAAGCTCTGCTTCCTTGGTAGCATGCACATCGCGTGCTTCCAAACTCAAGCAAGTTGATCACAGGAGTCCTTGTAGAGAGTATTAGCTGAGCTGGAAGTTGCTTGAGATGATGGACATGAGGTCTCACGGACTCTCTGTGCACTTGATGCCCGTCACCTAATCTGGGCTTTGGAGCTGCAGCAGCTATCGTAGCAAGCATTGAGTTGTACGGATCTGTACAACATACGTAGGCGTTTCGGCCAGGATTTGTGGTCGTAGAATTTCTGGCGATCTGTAAGGTCAACCTGAAACGCTTTTGTAAAGACTTCGAAGATCACTCTGTCCACCTCACAACCCACTCATCATTGTGCGATTTGTAATGCAACCCTGCGCAGAAGAGGTTACAACTTCTAGTTGCTGGAAACAACATTGCAAGCCCTCTTTTGTGCAAGTCGCTTGGGACTTTACCTGTCATGCCCCCCTCTGCAGCCGAGCATCCCGGGCTGATGTTGAGCGTCCTGTGGCCGACAGTTCAATCGCAGCACAGAAGCACGCATGTGCTGGCAGCTTGTAGCAGCTTCGTTGTCTTATCTTCCACCGACGATTCATCATCTGTGCTGTTGCTGCATCACGGCTGCGGCAATAGCTGCAGCTGCCAAAGTGTAGGGAAATATTGGATTTGCCCACTGCCACTGACACTTTCAAGTTCCATCTGCACGGTGTCACCATACGATGGCACTGGAGCTACGAAGGATGCAGTCCAAAGCTGCTGTACAACACCGAGGACATGTAAACGTCCGTCCCATGGTGTGCTCCCATACAGTGTATAGATCACCTGCTCCTGCATCATTGCTACACAGCATCATGATGGGGCGATAAGATAACATCCTATAGTCACAAAGCATGCCATACTGAAGTGGGCATAGACTCATGTTGCCGAAGCATTATGCGACCGTGACCGTGATCACTTCTTGTAATGCCCCCCGAAAGGGACTTTCACAAGTCGTGAACCCGAACCCGTAAAGCCTCCGGACTCCACGCCGCAGCGCCCAAAACTTACGCACATGCACTACATTGCACTGAAGCCGCTAGGGTATAGCAATCTCACGGAAAAGAGTAGCTGTATAGACTTCTGCTGCCAAGATCCGCTATCTATGCTACAAACTGCTAAGCCATGGCAGATACAAGAAAGGTCATAAATCATAAGGCGTAGGATCATCCATGGTTTCACGACCTCGAGCTATTGGTCCCCTATGATTCTCTTGACCTCTAGACGCCCAAACTCCGCTCAAGCCCTGCGAGCCCTAGACTAAACCCTGTGCCACAGCCAAAACCCCAAAACCTAAACCCTACTGCTAAATCCACAGCCCAATGAGTGCTACACCCCACTTCTAAACCCCCAAACCTGAAGCCTAAACCTGCACACCTGTCGCACCCCTTTAAAGTTCCGGTATAGTGTCCTTGCGTATAGTACTTTCATACTCAAACCGTGAAGCCTAAACCCTAAACTGCACTCGAAGCCCGCGCCAAGCTCGCCTCCAGGCAAAGCTTCTGGAGCCGGTCTCGCTGGCGCCGAGCTCGGGGCTTTGGGACGCTCCGGCACCTGCCAGCTAACTGAATTGGAAAAGTAAGCCATGAAGTAAACATAGCTTGATGGATGGATGGCTGGATAGATGGAATATGGACAGATAGGTTGATAAACAGACAGACAGACAGATGAGCAGAGAGATATATAGACACAGAGCGAGAGACAGAGAGAGACCTAGCATGGCCAGTACCAGCATGGTACACTCTGACAGAGAAACATTAATAGATGAATAAATGCATGAACACATTAGATATAGATATGTATGCATCTACCTACAGGCAGACAGATACAGATTGTCAGATAGCAGCTGAACATGACCTCTGAGTTTATATGACCTCGGTGCAAGCAAGACATATCGCAGTGAGGCAGTTTTCAGCCAGGTTATTTTAAGCGACCTCTCAAGGACATAGGCTCCGCTGGTCTGTTGCAGGACTTGGATTTGTAGCGCGATCAGGTTAGCATCTGAACTCGGAGCAATGTCGGTTTTCGAGCTGGACACACCTGGTTGGTTTCGGCCTGCGAATTTCTCTGAACTCATGTCGACCCACACAGCGAACTCATCTTCAAATCACCCGGTAGCCTCTGCAGTTCCGAACCTTCAGCAATGGAAGCCCGCAACCCAAGCGAGAAGCACAGAACAGAATACGTCGCACCTCGTCCTGGCACAGCGCCACGACACAGCTGGAGGACGCCTTTCAGGATCGCACGGGCAGGAGGACGAGTCCACTCCTTCAAGGGCCTCAGCCCCTGATACTACTAGTAGCTTTTCCGTGCTTGCACCGAAACAATTGTCGAAAGTCGCTGGGCTGCGCACCGCCGCAAACCTTACGCCATCATGAGCAAGCCAGGCCTCCGATGCAAGGGAGGCAAGTAGGATCGAAGTAGGATCTACGACTACGGCTTGTGGTTCGGGGCAGCTTCTCGGAACTCTAGAGTTGGATTCCGATGAAGGAGTTCATAATTCTTTCCCATGTCAAACATCCCTAGGTTTGACATCGCTGCACGTACCACCGATCACGACGATGCCGACGAAGCGCTTATACGCATGAGGCGCATTCTGATGACACCGGTTAGCATTGCTGCTGCGACTCGCATCTGAAACTGGTCTTCGCGAGCTGCTTCCTTTACAACAAACAGCATCTTTCTCATGTTCTCGATTGTCTCGGGCATTCGAACTCGACGAACTCGACCCCCTCGCCTCCTCAAACAGCTGATGGCTGGAGGCTCCAGGTGCTGCGTTTGCCAGATTCACCTTGGCTGCTGCTCTTACACCATCACTCTCAGATCCGGGACTAATTCTGCCACACGTTTGCATTCGGCATCATAGATTTATTGGATTAAAGCCGCACCCCTGCACGAAAGTTGCTTGGATCGTGTGGAAATCAGAAGAACAGACAGACCCACTAATTTTATTAGAAGTTGGCTGAAGGTTCGAACAATCGTTCTGGCGGCCTCCTGACACACTAGCGAATATTGGGGAGGACAGTGATCTACTTGTCCAAGAGCTCATTTCTGCATCTTGCCTGCGAAGTTGCAGTCTGTTGCGATGCTGCATCTGAAACGGAGGTTTGTGCTTCAGTGCTCAATCTGACGGAGCAAACGCCACCCAGGGGGCCCGGCCATCAGCAGCTCGCCAGACACTGTACAGCAGCACAGCACCTCCGAGCTTCAGTCCCCCTGGCCCTCCCGTGGGGCTCCAAACCCTAAGCTTCTGGGTTCACGGCCATGAGTTGGGACTTAGGTTGGTGTGGCTTCACGCTTCACCTTCTGCTTGTTAACTTGAGGCGAAGCTCGGCCAAGGTATTCCCCCACCGACTGTGGCCATTGTGGAGCGAGATCTAGGCTCAACCCTGTACGTCAGGCCGGCAAGAGGATTAATTAGTGAATCTTGCTGTCGCTGTTCATCGCTGCTCCATGAAGTTATCTTCCTCATCATCCAGCTTCTCTGCAGCTATCGAACCTTCGCTGTTCCCACCGTCATCGCCCCGCCTAAAGCCCAGTCCAAGAATGATGCATGCCTGGCTCGACAGCGCCAGACTCCTTGCCGAGCGGTGGCCCAGGAAAACCTGTTTCTGCCCATCGAATGAACTCGGTTCTTGGAGGGACAGAACATGTGATCTCTCTTGCTGTGCATCAACGACAGCTTCCATCCAAACTCTCCAGATCAGCAAAAAGCCACCGCAGTTCCCTCGCAAAGCCTACACAGCCCACTAACCTCCCACTGATCCAAGTGTGAACTTCGCTGACGCGTCTTCAGAACTGAGGCAGGCAACGTGCTGTGGCTGGTGAATTCCAGCAAACCTTGCCGGCAGCTATGGGCTGGCAAAGGCAGACGAAACGACAAAGCCTCCACCTGAAAGGCCTGGAACTCTACTGAGAGACGAGTTACTGCCTTCCGTTGGCCGAAAGAAACAGCTGCGTGTGCGACATTGCGATGGTGGTGGTAATGGTGCTGCTGGAACATGATGCTGAAGAATTCCAAAAGTTCGTCTGGGGCTTAGAAGTAGTCCCGATCTGTTTTATTGCTCCCCCCCCAACTCCCAACCGCCAGGACCCGGAACACACACGTTTTGCAGTTCAATCCTCCTGTGTGCAAGCGGCACCCTCTTTGGGCCCCCGGCCCCCATGCCCACAAGCTGCCATTCTTCGCAAGCACTGCAGAAGCCTGACCACAGTTTCAACATGGCGTTTGGGCGCTGCTTCTCTCTGCAACTACCATGATTCAGTACTTGTACTGGTGACAGTCATATATGTCGCAGCGTAGACTAGCATCGGAGCTTCTTGGGCATGAACTGATTGCATTGGATACATCCAGTCCTGCCTCTGCTGCAGCCACAGCTGTGGCTCCTGGTATGTCACCTGGGGGACATCCGTCGGCTTCGGAGTTGAGGCAGACCGCTATCACGCCCGACGAAAATCTACCCAAGACGAATCCAAAGCCTCTCACACCACAATCCCAAACCCGGTCGACTCGGCCCGGGACAGCGAAGCCTCCGTCCCAGATCCCAAGAGCCCTCCCTAAACCCTAAACCCCACGAAACCGAAACTCCACTCACCGGATTCGTTCGAGCTGCCAACAAGGCCAGGGACGTCTCGGTCAGTCAGGGTGCCATCTCCCAGCCTGGCGCGCCCAAGCGAGGTTTTGGGCTTCTGGAGTCTCGGGGCCCAGCTGGATCCTTCCACCTCAAGGAAGGCCTGAGCGGCAGCTAGCAGGTGTGAGAAGCGCGGCAAGTGTGCTGGCCCGTCCGGTTGTCACCCCAAGTGAAGACATTGCCTGGCAGGAAGGAGCACCACTCGAAGCTCGTGTCAATGCTCAGGCCACGTTGGGCCAAGTGCGTGCTTCAGTATCATGTGCTCCTTGAGGGTCTTCCTTCCATCGCTACTGTTCTGTCGGTAAGCTTAGGCCTTTGCAGCTTTGCATCTGCAGAATCGGAAGGTAGGATCGCAACTGTGCGCAAAGGTTGTTTGATATCTTCTTTGTCTTTGTCCCAAAGGCCGGATCAAGAGTCAGCAAAGAAGGAATCGACAATCCGACAGATGGTCAAACCGAGGCGAGCGTGCCGAATGTAGTCACCGTGCAGCTGTGGACACCTGCAAGACCGGTAGTACTTGGGCTTTGCCTAGATCGCAATACGTTGATGTATTACACACGTTTAGAGTCTGTTCAACACATTGAAGGGACCTGCGGTAACGCGAGGCTCGGGTCCAGAGTATGTGCAACAGTCCTGACACTACTGTTGTCATGGCTGTGGATCCTCCCCATGGTTGTCGTCGTGGTCGCATCCGCATGCGTCGCATCGTCATCATGTTGCGGTACCATCATCATCAGCAGCAGCAAAACCAACGACGACATCATCGTCATCGGCATCATCCGTATTACAGGTACATGGAAGACTTACTGAATGATGCTTGTTGTTTAGAGCGGGAGGCAAGCCCCAACCCCAAACCCCAAACCCCCTGAAGAAAAATCCTGTGTACCGGAAAGCTAGTGCCCCGCTTCCGGCAGCGATGTCCGAGGCTTGCAGGTGGGCCAGAGCCTGCAGCCATCTTCAGAAAAGAATCGTTTCAGGTTTGGGCCTGAACCCTGCATAAAGTTCAGGGTCTCGGGAATTTGCGGGGGTCAAGGGGAGGATCGCTTGGGCATGTCGCTAGCAACATTCCGAACCCTGCGCAACCCAAAAAGCAGGTGCAGCACTCTGGGATACGGGGCTTGAGTCGCCGCCTGTTTCGAAGCGTCCAGTCGCTCACCTGCCCCTCTCCAACCACTCGTCTTCAGTAGCTCAGTAGCTTGTGGCAATTCCGCTTTGGCCCGGAAGCTGCAAGGCAGAGCTCAGTCCAGCGGTGGCGGTGGCACTGCAGCGCCGACGCCGCGTTGTGGGGACCGGCTCCTTTCCGGCACTTTGGCGGAATCGCCAACCTGAAAGCTGAACTGCTTTGCGGAGGGCTACAAGGGATGAGGGAACGGAACTCCGCCTTGCACAGTCCCACGTGAAAGGCTTTCCAAACAATAATTTTGGGTATAGAACCAGAGATGTTGAGCTATGTGGGAGTGTCAGGACAGAATAATTGCAAAGTTAAAGGGTTCCTCTTTCAGCCGACAGACAAGAATGCGCGTAACATCAAGAACACAGGACATAGGCTTGGGGTACTGTAGGCTATGGCGCAGCAAAGGGGCGACTCGATAGAACTGGGCCAACCTATCCAGCAGTCGACCTGAAGGGGGTGATGTGAGGGGCAGCGTCTGCGGTGTGTAGAATGGATCCAGTGGTCGATATGGCACGAAGGCAGCATGAAGATCTTTACCGCGGCGCGACACCTGCTTCAGCATGGAGGACATGACCCCCACAGGCACGGACTCCGGCGTCTCAGAGTTCTGGCCACTAAGAGCCAGGGAACCAGATGCAAGGGCTAGCTGCATGCCTGGTGGGCCCTGCCCTTGCTGAACTGGCCGGACAGCTTCTGGTGCTATTGCAGGTGGTGCTGGCAACAGCGGTGCGGGTGGTTTCGGGATGTGCCCAGGAATCGCCATGTGCTGTTGCATCATGGGCGTTGGCATATGCTGAGGGACTGCCTGCGCATGCTGCATCTGCTGGGCTGCCTGCAGCTGAAAGTTTTGAACACCCGGCTGTGGCTGCATTCCCGGCTGGTTGGGCATCTGTTGCGGAACCTGTTGCAGTGCACCGAGAATGCTGCCCACTAAACCACTGCTCTGTGCCGGCGAGAAGGACACACCCATCTGCGCTCCAACCTGCTGCATCAGCCTACCGGCCTGAGGTGGTGGTGCTGGTAAGTCCGACGCTGTCATTAGCGCCGTGATCTCTTCGGTCTCTCGAACGCTGAGGATGCCTTTGTCCAACCACATAGCCAGGAGCTTCTTAATCTTGGCACAGCCTTCGCTGTCAGGCATCGAAGACCGAGCGATCTGAAAGGTGGGCCGCACCATCCACACCAGGCAGGGCTTGAAAGCGGAAATCAGCGGCCGAGCTCCGTCTTGGCGGGCCAGCTCGCTGACGAAGATCTCATGCACCAAATACAGCCTCGGATCCACTCCAGCAACCCTGCCCCATGCTGTGGTTGTGTCCTAATCATGCCAACCCTGAAACAAACAGTTGGGAAAGACGCTCCCACCACGTAAAGAGCCCGGTTGCACGTGAAGTCGATGGAGAGAGCTCGAAAGGAAGGCAACGCGCTTCATCATGTTGCTAGCAATGGCCGGGGCCATGGCAACATTGGCCTGCCAGGCCCAATTCAACAAAAATCCAGGAGCACCGAAGGTAGCGTGAACCCTTCACACAGACACAGGCCACTTGCATCTTTATGAAACTAGCTAGCCTCTGTGCACCAGCGCAGCTCTCTGTGGATGTGCATGCACAAAGATTTGAAGCAAGTTGGATTTCGGCCAGTTCGCTTTTGCATCGGCACCCTAGGGCAGCCCAGGTAATTTCGGGGCAAACGATTCGACTGAATGCCGAGGAATGCATTTGATTTTCGCTGTTTCCTTCTGAGTCGCCGAAGCTAGCCTGGGTTTGGTTCCATGGCTTCTGGGGAGGGTAGGTTGTAACCACGCAGGAAACCAGCATCAGAACGGCGGTTCCACCTCAATCTCGGCTTCTGGAGTGAAGAGTTAGCTTTGAAGCACAAATCGCTTGATCCAGGAGGGCAAACTCGGTTTCGGTAACTGGACTTGGCTAAAGCACAGAAAGCCCCGCCCCTCCCCCAAGAAACCACGGGCCTGCACCCAGGTCCGCCCGTGAGAAATGGCCTCTCCTCGGTTTCAGGCACCCCTTGGAAAAAAGGGCTTCAAGCCTGAAGGGCATGGAACTCTACTACTAGTAAGCGTGCAGCCTCAAACTTGTGAACTTGAAAAAAGCGTAGGATCGAGAGGAGACCCGCTCCAGGGAGTTGAGGATCTCGGTGAGCTGCCTCTCTGCATCTGGGCTCCCTAGGGGAGTCACCTCGGGGGTCGGCCATCGGCTCATCAGCGCAGCGACTTCCGAAGGACTGGAGATGCTCGGCTCCAGCACCGGGGCTCCCTGAAAGGCTCCGCTGGAGGCTCCCTGGGGGGCCCGCCCTAGATGGGACTGCAGCAGGGCTTGGTAATACTCGGAGCCCTCCCCACCCACCAAGAACTGGAACTGTGGGTTCTGGGCGTTCTTGCTCCTCACGGTGTTCTCGAACTCCGGCCCGTTCTTGGACACGTGCTCCGCCATGATCTCCACTCGCTGCTTCAGGTCTGGGGCCAAGCCCACGGCAAAGGCAGCACATGCTGCAGGACCCGGCACGGACATGGTGAGATCTAGGTCTTCTCATGACATCACGCGCAGCTTGCAGGGTTTCTTCACCCGGAACAGTTCCTGTCTTCGCACTGAAAATATCGGAGTAGGACTGAGCACTTAATGGGCAGTGTTTAAACTCTCCTTCTGTGTTGAGGACTGTATGTTCAAGGCTTTCGCAGCCGAGCGCAAGTTGCTGGCAATACGAGAATGAACGTGGGTACCTGTTTTTATTGGGCGAACTCTTGCTTGATTCGGCTTCATGTCGACATTCTGAGGGCTCAAGGCCCTTGAGAAGCAGCACAAGGGTAGTGTCAGTGTAGTGTCTGTCATTCTTGCTATGCTCTCTATGCCATGATGCCTGTGCGGTCTGTGCAGGCTATGGGTTGCGGGCCACTCTTAAGATCATGGAGAAGTCAAGCTTTGGCCAGAGATTTCAAGAAGCCTTTTTCCGTGCCTTACAGGATGAAGCCAAGGCATCTCAGGTACAATCGGAACCCAGCCTCCAAGCAGGTGGGCGTGGATGCGCTCTGCACCTCGTACGGGAGAAAAGTCTTGGCAGTTCACATCATGACATCAGCATCATCAGAAAGCCTTATACCAAACAACCCCTGGTCGAATACCATTGTAGGCAATCCCTCCCGACCCGATCAGACAGCCCCATACAGCCTATACCATACACTGTAGACTATAGCATAGAATGATATATACACTGTAACACTGTAGCATGAAACGATAAAGCACGATCTGCTACTCTTCGCTCCAAGCTGTCACCTACAGAAGAACGGCACAGCGAAACAACGGTAGAACAGCTCGGACTCGCGCGTTGCCCAAACCAAGCCTCGGCAGGGAGCAGAGCCGGATTTGGGTGTTTCTGAACGCCTCCGAGTCTGAGTCCACCTCTCTCCGAGCAGCTGTGCTTGCCATGCCAGGACAAGGCAGCTTGTTTTGATGCTTCTTGCAGTTTTGGGTGGCATTTGTCAACACTACGTACCATGACTAGCATTACTTTTCTTGCTCTTGCATGGCTGTTGTTGCAGTTGCTGCTGTTTTCGCTGCTGTTGGTTTCGTTGTTGTCCTGTTGACGTGAAGCAAGCTCAGCGGTCGGCTGTCCACGTCGTCCCTCGCCGAAAGAGAAGACGAGGCCTCCGTTTTGAACACGCGTTGCTCACTGAAACCAATCCGACAATAAAGGTTTGAGGATTTGAGGAGTTAGAGGTTTGAGGCTTGGATTGGTGACACTGGCACCCTTTCGTCCGAAAGGTGCTGCGCGATCGGGTCGGGGTCGATGGACGAAACGAGTTTTGGCTCTGTCGTCCTCGTCATTTGGCGTCCCCGTCGAGGTGGACTCGCTGAGCGCGGATTCGCGTTGTCTTCCTGCTGTGTGTCGGAACGCGTGAGAATACTAGCAGAAGTGTTATTCCGTCGTTTCACTGCTTCCGGATCCGCTCGGTGTCGAGGCGGGGTCGCTGATTGCGGATCCGCGTTGTCTTCCCGATGTGGGTCGCAAGGCGAGAGAATTCCGGTAGCAGTTCTGTCGTGGGGAGTTCCTGGCTAGAAGCATATTCGTTCATATTCGGGAATGCCAAGAAAATGCAGTTGAAATCGTGATCGGCTGCTATAAACACTCGGCCTTGAAGACTGAGGAGCAGCGAATGCTCTCTCCCGCATGCGGCGCGAGTGATCTGAGCGGAGCATGGATCGTCCGGAGCAAGCAGGGGGGGTTTAGTGAAGCTGCGCCTCCCCGATCAAGAAGGGACTTTCAAAGTTCGGAGCTTGTGGAACGGAGAAGCAAAAAGGAACGAGTATCACGCCCAGCTGAATGCTCACATCAAGTAACCATGCCCAAGGTCGTCGTGAGGAGTGTCACATGCACACATCAGCTGAATGCTGAATGTCCCAAAATCCAACAGCAGAACCGACTGCTTGAAGGGCCCCATGAGACATGAACTGCAAGCGAGCCATACGGCCTGAACCGGCAGCGGCAGTTGCTCCAGTCGGCCAAAAGCAGCCAGCATCTCAGGTTCGAGAGCAAGGGTGGCCGTTGGACTGTAGGGTAACCGCGGCTGGAATCGGGAATCTGAAGGTCCCAGGGATCAGGGCTGCTTTCGCATCTTCCTCGCCGTGACAACTTCCTGCCCAGCTCCAGCTTAAGCGCACATTATCGGATTCGTTCGCACCTCCCTCCAGCAACTGGTGCAGCTCTATACATCTTCTCCCTCACGTCGCAGGGGGTCTCTGTGCAGCAATGCCAACTCCTCTTGCCGACGAGCTTGCTGCTGTTGCTGGGCTGCTGGGCGGGTACTTCGCCCAGCTGCGTGGCTCTTACACTAAGTTTCATGAGTCTTATACTCTCGAGTGTCTCGGGGCCCTGGCAGAGGCGGCCATAAGAGCAGCCGCTTTCTCATTGCCCTGGGCGGCTTTCTCCTGCGGTAGTGGCTGGGTTGTTCATGACCGAGTCTCAGGAACTCAGTGCTTCCAGAGTCGATTGTGTGGGCTCCCTCTGACATAACGTGCTTTCATGTTCCAGCTTGCTCGAAAACGACTCTCAACCGCTGCATGGAGTTTCCCCCAACCAACATCTCTTTGAGATCTTCCTAGTCATTATTCATGCGGTTGTCCTGCATCCCCAGCTGGCTTTCAAACGACAGGCGAGTCCAGTAGCGCTGGCCTATAGTGAGATCGTTATGACGTCCTACGAAGGTTCGGTGACACTGTGTCATTGAGTCAAAGTAAATCATTATATATCAAGGCACTTGATGCTGTAGAAGGCGGCGAAGCCATGCCAGAGCCCCATAAGCTCCCTCGAATGAGAGTGGACCGAGGGGAGAAGCGGAATGGAGCCCCAATCTAGCAATGTACGATCCGGACACGGCTCCATCAGGATGACAAGATTTCCGGAACATTCTCTGCGTTTCAGTTCGTCTCACATTTTCAGCAGAGGTCCTGGACGCCAGCAGGACCTGGGAAGACGGGTAAGAAATTGTGATCTGAGGGTCATTCTGAGTTTGGGTCCAGTTGGGTTCGTTTCGAAGCGAACTCCTACTAATTCCTTGACATTCCTTCCACCCAGTCTCAGCCCCCTTGCAAAACTCTCCAAATGTCTGTGTCACCCTGCGTTTCCATGAAGTGGTCTTCATCTGGAACCCCTCCCTTCAGTGAAGAGGTAAGATACGTTTGAACACAACAACTGGGCCTCCCAGCACAAAGGGTGTTCTGATGTGGAGTATCGGGCCCAAGTTTTTCAATCAAGGCCCTTGCGCTCTTCGCCGAGCTTTGGGTCTAAGGAGTTTTGGTCGACATGCAGGAAGCTGACGAACTAGAATGCCGCTTGAGCTTGGGACGCTTTCAAGATTTCGGGAGCATCGCGGGGAAGGGGTACCATGTACTTCGAGATGACCGGTGAGATGCTCGGCCTCTCACTGTTCAGCTTGTAGACGGAACCTGCGGAGGTGACCTGCGAAGGTGTGCCGCACAGTGGAAATCAAGGGCCGTTGCCGGGAATGGCACTCCAAACAAGTCCAACTTGCAGTATCCTCTTGAAAACGCAGGACTTTAACGACCTCCAACAGATGCCAATTCACAAGTCGTGTGGGTTTATTGATGGGCTGGCAAAGCTCCGTGCAGTCTCTTGCTATGACCCCACTTGCATACGGAACTAAGCTGAAGGGCTCTTTGGTTGAACAGATCACATGAACTTTAAACGATCATCAACGATCCTGCGGAGCGCATGTTGAGTTTGCAGCTCAGCATCTTTACACCAACAATGTCGAAATGCTTCAGGACGCAGTAGTCTGAGTCAAGGTGCGACCAGGACCATACCGCTTGGACCTCAAGCGGACCCGGACGCGTTCGAACAGGATTCCAGTAGCAGCATGGCTGAGGCATGCAGTAGCAGGTCATGCTGCAGCATGACCGGGATGTCCATTAAACAGCAATGTGATGTGTCTGCCCTGTCCAGCAAGCAAGCGAGCAAGCGGAAGGCCGTCCTGGTAAGTGTGCCAGCCACCATGGATGAGCATGTGCTGTGTCGCAACATTATGGTGCAATCATCAAAAGACATCTATGAACAACTTCCCGCGAACAGCACGATGAAGCGATGATTCAGACCGGCAAGATTGGATCTGTGGTCCCCGCTGCAGGCGGCACTGGCCACATCTTTGCTCCTGAGGGCCTGTCGGCTGAGCAGCAGTTGGAAGGGCCGCCCACCCAGTTTGTTCCGCCACAATCCCCAACATGGGATAGTTTGGGGTTCTTGATGTAGGTTGCCCACTGCTCTTGCTGTACTGATGCTGTTGGCCTTTGGGCACTGCGAGTAATGTGACGGCGTGCCTCAGTCGATGATCTTAGCTCGTCAGCGTCTACAATCTGCTGAGCAGGTGCAGGAAGCTCTGCGATTGCTGTGTGTGCCACGGTCCCACCGGCACTGACAGCTGCGCCCAGCCCATGCAATGTGTGAAACGGCTGGTCTTCTAGGCTACGGGAAACAGAGCCAGCATCCTTAACTTAACTCGGTAGAAAGCCCTTCGGCGACAAGGTGAAGCAGCAAAGTTCGTGTCCGGCAGCTTGGGGCAGGAAAACGCCGAACATACGTGTCCAAAGAGGCCTCCACCAGGCGTGGGGCATCGTCTCCGGCAGCATCCAGCAGATACAGCCTCAGCAAAGAAGCTCGCTTGAAAAAAGTGTATGCAAGCATACTGCTAACACGTACGGCATGTGCAGATGCATGAAGACGGAGATAGCTCCAAATCTGGTGTCGTATTCTAGCAGCCGGTAGTAAACTCGCACCAGAGCAAGTAACACACATAGCTCCCGTGCAACCTTCGGCTTCTACCAAAGCCCGAGACCGCAAACTGAAGCGCAAGCACGCAGGCCTGAACTGATCCAGGTCCTCAAACCCAACCCAACCCACAGGTAAAGTAGAGCAACATGAAGGTTATGGATGACAGCAAAGTCTACTATAGGGGCCTTAATAATTAGAATAGGGTTTTGGGGTATATTATCCTATACTCATAATAAGGAACCCCCAAAATAGTATTGGTAATTATTTAAGCCCCTATAGTACTCACCGAGGCGGATGAAGTAAGCTTGGAACTGGCCCTCCGTGGTGGCAAAGGTCACGAGACTTCCGCTGCAAGCGACCGACCTGGCAGGAAGATCATACTTAGGATAGGGTTTTTTTGGGCCCCATTATGCTATAACTTGAATAAGGACCCCCCTCAACAAAAAAAGTATAGGTATGAGCTCATGGATGACATTAGGGATCTGCCCTCAGCGACAGCACTCGCGTGCAATTCGAAGCCTGTCGCCTGCTCAGCCTATATTCATCTGCAGGGTAAACAGGATGATAGCGATGATGATGATGATGTTTGATGATGATTATCCTCCGCATCCCTCCCCCTCATGCCGCTACAAAACCACTGACGATGTCGCACAGCCTTGACGGCGACTTCTAGCACTGCAGTATCACGCCATCACCGAAACCACCATCTTACACATCTTGTTTTGTTCATGAAATACAATTACCACTAGAAACAACTAGTAACAGCAGGGTGCTGGGGTGCGGACTTGAGCGAAACGCTGGGCCGAGCAAGCGTTGGCGCTGGGAGCCTCGTTCGTGTGTGTGGGTGTGTGTGTGTGTGGGTGGGCGTGAGCAAGCAAGGTTTGTGGCTGAGGAGCTGCCAAAGGTTTATTGAAGACTTAATCGGAGGCTTAGAGTTTGAGGTCCCATCTCTGTGGGGTTTCTCTTGATACTTGGGGATTTGGACCTGCAGGCTGAGCAATGTCCTCAAGGCCAGACTTCTGATCCCAAACTGTGCATAGGTATAGCACACTCCCTAGTTGCCCTTTTTAATCAGCTCATGTGTAAAACAGAGAACCCTAAACTCCCCATCAACTTAATCGTCCACTCCTCCGTCTCCGACGTCAACTAAATCCGGGTCACGACACTTTCTGCCTTCGACGGCTAGGCACGCTGCTCGTCGGGAGAGTCTTTCAAGTCCGGGAGGGACCTCGGCTCGCAATTTAAAGGGGACCCTATTACAGAACCCCATAGTACCCCTTGAAGGATCCCGTGTGGGGAACTTGTAGGGGCTTTTCTGTTTTGGCCGGAAACGGAACTTACAGGGGCTTTATGGGCTTTACGGGAACTCAACAAGGGCGTGCGTTTACAGGGAAGGAACCTTGAGGAAGAATCTTGGTATTTATTCAGGCCCCTCTATCAGTCTGTATGTATCTATCTGTCTGTTTGTCTAAGTATCTAGATCTATATATGTATAAATATACACACATATGTATATATATATATACTGTCATATATACATATATATATATATATATATGTATACATGTACACATACACATACGCATCTGTGTGCGTGTGCGCTATGCAGTTTGGGGATGCTGGGCCACTTGGCCGCTCACCCTAAAGGCTCGAAACTCCAAGGCCCCGGACCCCTGCTTACCCTTAAAGAAGCCCCTAATTTAAAGGGAACCCTCTAAGGAATGCTTTAAGGAACCCTTCAAGGAACCCTTATAGATAAATCCTCAAACAGCGCGTTTGTCCCATTTTGCCTCAGGGCGAGGCCAAATCAGCACGGGACCTGCTCGAGCTTCCATGCTCCTGGCTGGCACCGGGCTGCACGGCTCTTGAGTTTTTGCTGTGGACTTTCGGGGCTCGGAGCTGGGTGCTGTCAGCAGTCTTTAGTAGACGTAGGTCGGGTTGGGTGGTGCGATAACCGTTGCGATGGGTTGGGAACCTTTCGTGTTCACTGGGCTTAGGGTCTAGCAGCTTCCTTCAACACTTAGGCATCGGACTCCCGGGATCGAGCCCTTGGAAGGACCCTTGTTGGTGGGAATTCCAACTCTGTGGCGGCGTTGCTCCGGTTGAGATTGGGCAAGCTTTGAGACAAGGCGCCGGCGCCCCCCCCTTTTCCCGACTGGAATGGCACAACCGCCTGCTTACTCAACGTGAGGACGGTCCAGAGGTGCGTGCATGGTCAGGAGCACACGCAAGTAGAGTCATTATGGGCTATGCCGTCTATTCCCGGCCAATCCCAGAAACCTCTTCTGTGTGTCTTCCGACTCGCAATGTCCCTGAAATCGCCCAAGCAATAAATCTACGAGTCTCCAGAGAGTAAAACCCAAGCGGCACAAAACTGACAGCTACGGCGGTGCGGCCCGACCAATGCAGCCAGGCAGATGGCTCCCTAAACAACAAGCATGTTTAGGGTCTAGGCCATCCTGACTGAAGACTACGACTACGATAAGATAAATCCACCGTCTGGTGCGGTGCGTTGAGACGGTACAGCCAGCATCTCCCGGTTGGCGACACGGCGACACCATGGAGAACTCAATGCACACGCCAAAGAAGTGCATTGGCGGGCAGCTGCTGGTGATTATTTCTGCTGTCGAAGCTTGAACTCTGAGTAAAGACGGGTGAGAACATGTGTGCCGAGAGCTGTTAGCTGTGACCACGGCTGTCTACGACGGGTCATCTCAGTGCAGCATCCACACAGGCGCGCCAAATCCTCGAACACTGTGGCTGTTGGCTTTCGGTGTTGACTGAGCAGAAGGTACGGTTGCTGCAGTTCTAGCAGGAGACGGCAACTCACTAGCTTGATCCCCGCATCAATTGACATCAGAGTGTCTCTAAGCCCTAGGTAAGCATCAACTTATTGTCATTCTAATGCCTGCTGCAATAGTCACCCTAAACACTTGGCACTGACCCCGACTCTAAATCCTACGTAACTCCCTAAACCCGCAAAACCCGAAACCCTCTCATTTATATGTACAAACACACACAGAGACACACACACACACTCATAACAATAAAGTATAAAACAATAAGCAAGAAACAGGTAAACATGTGCATAGAAATATTCACTACACGCGTATTTGTATATTTGTATGTACTATATTATAAACAAACGATATGTTTCTATACGCTCTAAAACCAAAGTCCAAACCAACAAATCCAGCTAATTAAAGGCCCCAGTGGCGTGGGCGGCCCCTCGAGCCAGCCGAGGACGCAGGCGCCTTGCTCGCCTGAGCGCGGAACATCATGTCGAATTTTAGAAGGAAAACAGGGGAGTTTCAGAAAATCGTTGTCCCGCATTCTGGGGTCCCCCATTTTCGGAAACTAGCGGTAATACCGCCACGTGTACTAAACACCAACGTGAAAGATAGCATTGAACATTGCAATCATAAGCGGAAATAACTACTACTACTACTACTACCTCTACTACTACTACTACTACTACTACTACTACTACTACTACTACTACTACTACTACTACTACTACTACTACTACTACTACTACTACTACCTCTACTACTACTACTACTACTACTACTACTACTACGACTACGACTACGACTACGACGACTACTACTACTACTACTACTACTAGTGACAAGAAGAGTGGTTGTTTTCTCAACCACAAGTATTCAATTTACCATGAATCAAGGGACAAGAGTCAGGGGTGTATTATGGGTTCGGGAAACCGTTCCAAGGTAGCTGTAGAACGGGTAGAAACAAGAGGCTGTCTCTCTTCCGAGAGGATTGGATCTTCCGGTGTTGAGGACTTTTGGGTTTTTGTGATGCGGACATCAGTCGCAGCTGAAACTGCAGCACGGCGCCCCTCTTTAACTGTTGGGGTGAAGGTTGAGGTTTTCCTGCTGCAAGAGCACTGCCTGAAACTGCTGCGTTGCCAGTCATGATAGACTAGATTTCGGCTAGGGCTGTCCAGCAAGAAGCTGTAGCTGCGAGCGACAAACTCCTCGACTTGTCATGCTGGTTTGCATTGCATCTACTTGGACAATGGCTTTACTTGGCTGACAAGTGATGAATGAAACAGTCAAACAATGTACAGCGCAAGCACCTCACTGCCATAATGCGGACACGCAGCAGTATTCCTTGGCTGGGGAAAAAATGTGCGTTGGTTCTACGACGAGTCTTCAGACACCAGCAGGGCAAAGCTGAGACTAACCTTGACTGTGTCGCCCACCGTGTACCATCCCATGCCGTCTCCCGAGTCTCATGCCCTCTGCTCATTGTGCGATTCAAAGAGTCAGCAACACAGTTTACGTGTGTCCTGTGGCTGTCAAGTACAGCTTCAGAGGTTTCCGTCCGGTAAACTTTGCCTCTGTGCAGCATTTGCTCTGCAGGAACTGCACGTGTTGCACCAAAGGCTGGGCCAAACAATTTCGCGAGGGTTCTGAAGAGGAGTCTGACGGCAGCAGAACATAGAAACATAGCGCTTTCAAACAGCTGAAACAGGTACTTCGCACAAGGGCTGCCGATCATCATGCCGGCACCTTGCCAGCAAGTGCTCGATCGGTGTGGACGAACAGAAGCAAGCCCATCTTTTGCAGATTTAGGGCAAGAGCGTTTGAGGGCGAGGCGTGATGGTCAAGGTTGGGTTTCATTAGGGCAAACCCGGTTGGCCCGGGGACGTCTCAGGGTTTTAGGGCCGAAGGCTCGACACGAGGGCCCCACCAATGCCAGCAAGCATCGCCGAAGATCACTCTCGCCTTGCCCGGGCCGATGCGCTTGACCATGAAGTCCAGGCGCATGGAGGGTATCTGCAAACAAACTTTGGACAAGCCGCTTTGCCCTGAACTTAGGTACCCTTTTCGAGATGCCTCGAAACCGAGAAAGATATGTAGAATCTAGAATGAAGGCAGAAGAACAACCCATGACGAATTACCCGACGCAAGGTGCAAGAAAGCTTTCCAACCTAGGGGACTTGTACGTTCAACGTTGCTAGGTGGTCCCTGCTCCGAAAGCTCTCACGGTGACTTCAGCTCAAACGCAATGAAGGTAGAGGCCTCAATAATTTCAGCGGGGTTTGGGGATACTATGCACCCCTCTTTCCGGCCGGCTGGTGCTCTGCGGAGAGCAGCCAGGCCAACAGAATCTGAGCGATGCTGGTGGCCTTCTCCTGAACAACGAAAAAGTCGAGTCCAGGAGATGTGTTCGCTTCGTGTTCACCGCACTGATCCCTTTCTGTCCTATTGATGCAAAATTTGTTGCAAGTAGCCCCTACAAAGCACAGTCTGAAAATGCCTTGGCCATTTCCCATGCTTCTCTGTCCTCAGTGTGAGGCCCACTTTCATCGCAAAACCTGACGCGAAGCTTCACGAATTCACTGCTCAGCACCCCACGCCGTCCCACTTGTCTAACACCATGGCCTGACAGGCAGACTACACACGGGCAGGATACTGCTTGTGATGATAACATGACGGATTAATATTCGGTTCTGGTGTAAAGCGGAAACGCCGTGGTATATTTTTCAGTTGCACAAACTCACCCGATCAAGTCCAGCACAGCAACTGGAAGAGAAGAAGAATAAGCAGTCGTCAACGTCATGATCTGATAGTGGCAGCAGCTGTTGCCGTGACGACGACAGCAGTATTATGATGCGTTCAGACTATGGTGTCCAGTGGAGGTCCTCGGGGCCAGGGCGGAATGCAGGTGAGCAAAGAACTGAGCCGCGGATCCAAACCCTGAAGCTTGAAGCCTAGCCCAGAACACCTTCCTCTCGTTATGCCATGTCCTACCCGCCTCCGTGAGTTTCGAGAAGCTCGCTCTCGAGACACCCACCTCGGGATATCACGGGTCCAGTCCAGAGCTGCATCGCGCTGCGGTTCTGGGTCGGGGAATGCAAAAGTTTCATGAGGTGGAGGCGCCGAAAAGGTGTCTCGTAGTCCGAAGTGAGCCACGGAAAAGCCCATACCAGTGGAGCCGTGAACCGAATGGAGGACGGTCAACCTGACCACACATCTTCCATGGCCCAGAATAAGCCGCAGAATCTCAGTGCAGTCTCGATACTCGTCAGTCTAGTGACTAGTGGCTGAGTGGCAGACATTTTTGGAGTCATCCGACGGGCCCCAAGCATTGCCTGGCTCCGAGGAGTTGGTGTGTCACAAGGACATAAAACGGTTTCCTGCTTCGCACAAGCTGTGAGCTCGGCGGCCTTCGAAGTCTCGAGGTCAACGAACATCGACTTTTTCTAATGACTATATGTCAGGTACCAGGGTTGAGCCCGCAAGGCCTCTACAGATTGTCAGTGAAACTCACATAAACAAGCAATCAGACCAGATCATCATCAAGAAATGTAAAGGTGGCAAGAGTCATACCTATAGTGGTGCCAAATGTAGACTGCATTCCTGCCAAGTGTTTCAGAACTCAGAGGTATCCTGCTTCAGCCTCTCCATCGACCTGTCTCACCATAACTTCCCTGCCACACGCTCAATCAAAAAAGTCGACAAAGTCGTGGCCGGCCCTGGATCTCTTCGATTGTGCAACGAGAGGCGGGAAGCTGAGGCAGTGGCACTGTATCATGGTCGGCTGGATGGGATGCTGGCAGGGAAGTGCATGAATTTGGAGTTGCAGGCGCCGCAAAACTGGAACTGTTCTGGTGCGGGGCCAACTTCATCTGAAAGGGTCCAATTTTCGGAAGCGTCCATGCCGTTCTCCCGTAGTGCAATCTCACCAAAGATACCTATCCCAGGTGATCAAGCCTGAATATTGCATGCGCAGCTGTAACAATAGGTCATACTAGCGCTGGCGCATACGCTTGTCCGTCACTCTGTGCACTACCAGGATGCCCCCCGCCCATGTCACCTCAGCCGGCCATGTCGGTGGTGGCAGGTAGTACTGCCGCATCTCGAAATCAAAATCTACCCACTCCTGCCACGGATGGTCTCTGCAGGCTTATTCCGGCACATGCAAGGATACTGCAGGCAACATAATCACTCGAAAGCAGTGGGCCGTGTGGAATGTGGGTTATACATGTCCTCCATGTGTTGCAGGGCCCTGTTCTCCTGGCCCTTCCGACCTCCCGCCGTTTCTCAAGTTGACACGAAGCTAGCAGCATGATGACAAAACCCTGGGCCCTGAACTAACATCCTAGATCCGAGAGTTCAAAAGCCATATCCGAACCTCAAAACCCTGAACCCTCAAACTCTGAATCCGAGAATCTGAACTTCAAGACCCCAAACCTCACCACCCCCAAGCCCTAAATCCTGAACCTGAAACCCCAAACCTTTTTTTTGAACCCTAAACTCCTAAAGCCCCGAAGCCTCAACCCTGAGGTCTGAGGCCCTGGAATCAATGACCTAGAAGGCCTGTCCTGTACCACGCAGTAGGTGGCCAGGCAGCCCTGCTGATTCATCATCTCCTTCAGTCTCGCCTGGACTGGGGAGTGGGGTTCTCTTTTTTTCTGGGTTCTCCGAATCCCAGTAGGGCGTATGCCTGCAGCCAGCTTCAGGGTTTAGGGATCTGGGAGTACCTGGGCTTGGGGCTTGGGGTTTCTGCGAAGATGACATGTAAAAGTCTGAGGCAGCCTGCAGGTGCTTCGGGCTGGTGAAGGTGACGACGAAGCGGTTCTCCCAGCTCCAGCCGAGCTTCACCACGCCCTGGCCCACAAGGACGACCATAGCTCAACGACTAGAAGTCGTCATGGGGTCCTCTTGTAGCCTGCCCTAGAAGAACCTGAAGGTCTTGTGGCATCAGCTCAGAGCCTCCTGGCCTGAACGAATTATCCCGGAACTGGAGCTCTCAATACCCTGAGCCCGTGAGTTCCTGCTTTGGCACCTTGACAACACCGTCCTTGTTGACAGCCGACGGCGCCGGGGGGTCTCCATCCTCAACCTCGGGGCTTTCGGCTTTTTGGGGTCGCCCGGAGGCATGCCCGTTGTGTCGGAGGACTGGAGGAGCATGAACGGAACAATGCAGCTTGAGGTTCAAGCTTGAAGTTCGAGATCTTTGGGCTCCGGTGTTCGGGCCTGGGCCTTTAGAAGTTGGTATCACTGTGTTCGATTCTCCGCACCAAACAATGTCCGCGTTGCTCAGCTGAAACTCAGGGCTCCCATCCCTGAACCCTAAACCCCATAAATCCTAAACCGGGGCACGGGCCGGGAAAGGATTCATCCTCCGAATGTGGTGCAGAGCTCGGAGCGCGTTCTCTGCAGCTGCCTGATAGAAGAGCTGCGCAAAGAACGTGCTAAACGTTTCTTTGCCAATACCAATTTAGGATTCCGTAGTATAAGTATAATAATGACGATAATATACCCGAACACCCTATTAAGGCCCCTATATTATACCATTTCGGTGTGTTGAGTCTTGGTTAAGCGGCCGCCAGCTTACCAGCTTCCGTCGTTACGATGGCTCCCGGCGGTCAGGAGCACACGAGAGGTGAAGGAACGAAACTGTGACATGTAGCAATGAATCCTCAGGCCGTGTCTCTCAGTGTCTCTGCCGCTCACGGCTCATGCGCGACACCTGCAAGCCTCTACTTCCGGAAACCAGCTCTCTTACAAAGCCCCGAATAAGCCCAAGCTCGAACTCCACTTCCGGTTGCCTCCACGTTCACCTTCACAGCGCCCTGCCAAAGGCTCACATCTTAGAACTTCTTCCCAGGGGCCAGGTTATCCTGAAGAGGTACTGGGGGTGCTCATGTACCCTGAACGAATATTTACGTCGATTTCCTAAAAGTTTTCTCGTGTGGGTTTCTTGCAAGATTTCTAGGCTTCGGAAGTTATCTTCCTCTCGCGCCCTTTCAGTGTTGTGGCCTCTTATGCACAAAAAGAATGAAGGGTTCCTCAAAGTAGCAGAGCCCCCCCCACCAATCACTCATTGCAAGCAATGTAAAACTGCAAAAGACTTGCCACATGTTGCACTTGCATTTCGAGAAGCTGTTCTTGGTCAAATCAACCTGAACGCGGTACAGAACGGCGCACCTTGCTCACCAGGGTAGCAGCTGGAAGTCGTACTCCTGGACGACGTGCTTCAGTTTCTTGCAAGATTACATGTACTTTAGACTCCCGGAATCCAGGGCGAAGCTTCGAAGCGGAGTTTAAGACGTGTGCGTTCTGGGTCTTGGCAATGCGGTCGCGACCTGAACCGAACCCTTCAGCCCGAAGCCCTTTAGGTACAACCCTGATTCCCTTCGTTCAAAACTCCAAGAAACCGAACCCTCAAAGCCCCAACAACCGTACAGCTCTGCCCCTGATGCCCAAAACCTCACTAGGTCACAGCAGGCTACTTGTCAAAGCTCAAGCTGTGGTATGGCTTTGGTAACCTCTGAACACGTCCGTGTTGCGTTCCTGCACTGACGAGCCGGGGCATAGAAAACACCGCGTGGAAAAATGCGATCCTTAGTCCTTAGTCGTAAGACCCCACACCACAAGCCCTGAACGCTCCTGCCAAAGCCCTGGATCGCTCCCCAAATCCCCAAAGCCGTAGTCCCAAACCCCACAGCCCAGTCCCTGCAAGCCTTAAATGCCCCTGCAAGGCCCCTCCACCTGGATGGAGCGAGAGCGTCGCCATCCAGGATTTGGAGGTGATGAGCTCGTACCTCCGAGGACCATATATGTGCGTATGTACAGATAGATAGATGAGCTAGTATTATGAAGAAGACAGTTCTAGTAACACCGCAGCTTTTCGTGATTATTACGAGCACGAACCCTACTTACACTCATCGTGGTGCTGGACATGCTCATTATGGTCATATTTGTCGGTACAATCGATCCGTAGATCTACACAGGGGCTAGGGTTGTTGGGACTTTTTCGGGGTTTTGGGCTTCTTGCGTTGAAAGGTGTTGATGTTGTGGGGTTTGGAGTATTCGGCGCATGAATTTCCGACCCTTCTGAAGGCAGCCGCGCTCTTGAACACCCACCTGCCTGTATAAAATGTGCGCGTGCTTGAGTACGTACTTGACCTAGCACTTGTAGAAGAGCCCAAATGTGCTCTTGTCCCTACTCGCCCTTGGAGCCCGGCTGGTCCGCTGGATGTGGGAAAATGCTGCGGATGGCAGCTGCCTCCCGAGTCTCAGGGAGCGGTTCTGCTCAGTGCCCCCACTGTGCCCCCGTACTGCGGCTGCTATGATGGCATACATCGTGTTTGAAGAATGTACACATACATGGTGAACATAGGAACAGCTATCACCATGATCATGGCATCATCTGCATCATCATCATCATCATCATCATCATCATCATCGTCATCACCATCGTCGTCATCATCATCATCGTCGTCATCGTCATCGTCACGTTCAGGAGTATCGGCATCGGCAGCATCGTCGTCCTGGCTCACAGTGATTAGGGCAGAAGCCATAAATTCCATCATACCGCCAATGGTAGCAATGACACTACTCGTTGTAGCTGCACGGGACTACTGGGTACGCATAGTGCCTGAAACTTTTCGCAACCTGCACCAAGCTAGAGGTCTTGACCGTGCAGGCAACTTCGGAGAGTTCAGTGCAGGGCTCCATGGCAGGTCGTGCTGTGCTTTGCGCATGTTACGTTTCCCACCGCCGAACTTGAACCCCAGATAGTTTCAAGATCAAGTCCTTCTGAGCCCGAGGATCTTGACCCTTTCATATTTCGGAGTGGCCCAAGGCACCTCGCAGGCACGCATGGCAGCGAACCTCAGGACTGTTTGCAGGCACAGGGAAGATGATCGTTTCGAACGTGCTCTTAGACTGGAATGGTATGTGGCCGACGACGCCTAGCACAACCTGAAAGGCGCAACTAGAGCTCAACAGCGGCAGTCGGAGATTTTGCATTTGCCGAATGTGGTCCTTGACAGCTGGCGGGTAGTGAAACCTGGTTGTAGGTTTTGGTAGCGGTTTCCGTCTTCAGGGTTGGGGTGATTTGTTGGGGCTTGCGGAATCTGGCGGAAATCCGAAGCACATCCAAAGCCCCTGGCATCGCATGACGCTCCACGTAGCAGGCGTAGTCGGGATCGCCGAAGTCCTTTCGATCCACCACAAAGGGTCGTTTGGGAATGAGTGCTCTTGCCAACAAGGCATCCCAGGCCGATGAGGCAGTGCCTGCGTTCTGCCTCCAAGGATTCTTATTACATGCAGTGGATCCTTCTTCCCATAGTAATCGCCGAACTCAGGCCCAAACAGGCGCACCTAAACCTCAAAGGCCAAAAGCCCAACGCAATGGAGCCCTACGGAATGCCTCCCACTCTGCAGGCCATAGCATCCAGAAAGCCGCGCGGCGGGGACCTGGCGAAGGATTGTGGACCCGACGCGCGTTCATGTAAGGTGCTATAACAATAATAGCATTGATGATCAGTGTTATTTATTAGTACGACCTTCGTTGCTGTTGTCGTTATTATGTGGATTTAGGGTTTATAGTTTCAAGATTGAGGCTTCGAATTTGGGTGTGAGGGGTCCAGTGTGACGTATGTGGACGAGGTCGAGGGGACCAAAACATGACATTGCAAAGTGCTGCAGATACTCAAGACTGACAGGGCTCCCGCCTTTCATCCCGGCCCGGATCATATGAGCTTGAGGAGCTATCTGGAGAGCGTCCTTCGCACAGGATTCTTCACCTGTGCCTACCATGTCTGACACATGGGACAGCTGAGAAGTTGCAAGCTCTTCCATGGCGCTCGGGACTGAGCACTGACCGTAAGTCAGACGGCAACCGGCAGCTCTCTCACACTCTTCCTTGGAGCTCGCAACGAGGACATGGTGCAACTCCCACTGCGGCATGCCCTGGCACACGGGCAGGTGGGGTGTGCTCTGTCAGATTGAAGCTTCTGGAAAAGAGTTACGATTAGTTTGACAGTGTTATGCTTACGAAGATCATGTTTACTGTCCTTTTTGTATTGTGTTTGATTAGTATCGCTATTCTCAATAAATTAAGAGTATCGTTGTCATTACTACTATGGCTATTTTGCAACCCCTTTGCCTTTGCTATGCCCTGGCACCTCAGGGCTGTGGAGAGACGGGTGCTTCTTGAAACCTTTCTCCACGACGTGACCTGGGCAAAAGGCTCTCCTCGGGGGAGGTTGTTTTGGGTTTGGGGCTCTTTATTATCTTTTGTTCTAGTATAGTATAGTATAATGTTGTGTATTGAAATCAGGGCTATGGGTTTGGGGAAGCTGTCTGCCTGTCGAGGGGCCCATATATTCGTCGCTCGGTGGAGAGCCGTACTTGCCCCAGTCTCCATCGTTCGCCTCGCCAGAGATGCAGCAGGTCAATTCTCGTGTTATGGAGTTTGGGTTTGGGTGTTGTCAGGCAGATGGGCTTACTTGACAGCAGTCAGAAATGCAATGACCAGGCTTTCCCCGGCATCTACCACTGGCTCTTGCGAGGCCTCCTGCTCGTCCATCCACTTGGAGTACCTAAGCCGCACAGCCACCGGGAAGACCTGTTCTCAGCCTGAGCCTGACACCGAACACATCTGAACTGCCCACCCCTGAGCCTGTAGTGTGAAGATATTTCTAAGGCGATGAAGTGCAAATCATCCCTCGGCTGGAGTGTCTCTGAGCATCGCATCTGCCATGAGATTCCGCCTGGCCTTCTTCAATACAGGCTGTACCGCCTGGGAGCTCCTTGCGAACGACCCTTGAAACCGAGAAGAGAAGCCTACAGATGCGAACCCCGAAACAACCAAAGAGCTGGAACCTGAGACGGCATCTTCCACCCGGACAAACACAAGAAGTTCAACCAAATCCACAAACCGCTTGGAGCCCAAAGGCTCGCCACCCCATCGGACGAAAAGCAGCGACAACTTGCACCTGGGCATGCTCAAGCTTAGGGGATTTCAGGGGCTAGGCCAGGCCCAAAGCATGCAAAACCGCGATCGTTTTTGCTTCATATATCGTCGCTAGGAATAGACCGTCTTTGCGTTATCAAACTCCGTTGCGCACTACATGTGCTTTTGCATTAAAGACATATGTCACATTCCCTACATAATTCAGGATTGCATTGGATTTTGAATTGCTGATACAGCGAGCAATATCTCGAAGTGGTACACAAGCAGCGTTGCATGACGTCTTATGTCACTGCATGTGGACGGAAAACAGGTTCGCAATTGCATAAGAGTTGTTTCTACCTCGCATTCTCCAGACTGCAGACATGTGAAACATGTATGGCTCTTCTCGCCATGTATGCGCAAATATGACATGCGTGTCTCTGCAGCGCGCAACAGACAGGCAGATAGACAGCTGGATAGATAGATAGATAAATAAATAAACAGATTCAGGTAGGTAGCTAGCTGGCTAGGTCGGAAGGTAGGTAGGCAGCCAGATATCCTACCGTGCAAACTCAACAGTTACGGATGGGAATAATGATGACGATGCTCCATCTGCATCTGATCCTTGGCGGTCACAAAACCGAGCTTGGAGTTGCGGGCTAAGCAAAGCACCCGAACAAATTTGTCCACTATAGAAGCCAAGCTCTGGCTGAAACCTCTGGGCAGCGATCACTGTACTTTCAGTCATGCACAGTGAGAATAGGGTTTTGGGGCCCATTTTCAGGCAATTACAACAAGGAACCCCCCCAAAAAAGCATAGGTAAATGTCAGGCACTGCAGAGCAGAGAAGCGATGGGATAGTATGATACTCTGATTCCTGTCCTGGGTCGCATGCGGCGGCGTTTTCGCATCGCAGACCCAGCGGACCTTATGAGAGGAGAGAGGGGCATATGCTGTCTATGCAGTATGCATACATGCATAAATGGCCAGGTTTGCCTGGCGGTTCGCATGTGCAAGACATTGCAATGAAGCGTCCCCAAGAGCGTATTCAAGACCTGACCACAAATTCTGGTATCGCTTCCAAGGTGTCTCGACTGGATTCATTACCGGCCCTTGCCAGCCACGGGCCGTGACGGCTGTGACGACCCCTGTCAGCTGGCTGACAACCTCAAAAAAAGTAGATCACCTCTGACCGGGGCCGTTTGCATGAGCCCTCCTCCCTAACCCGCGAAGCTGTGCACCTGCACCCACAGCACGACGTGCAGTCGACTCTGTTTCGAGGGCCGGGCCCTCTGGGGCATCGTTGCCGAAGGCACAGGGGTTCCCTGGCGAAGGCAGTGATCGGAGGCCCAGCGAATATCAAGAGTGCGAATCTTAATTAATGCTAATGACCAGAGTAGTAGTAGTGAGTATAGTTACCATGATAATAACAACACTCAGAAAGATCTTAATGAGAATAATAACAAAAATTAGTGCCGGCGAAGACCCCAAACAGTATTGACGTAAAGACAGGAGAGACACGTGCTATAGTGGTAGATTATGACAACGAGTAAACTCAAAGCAGCGATCGGCACGAAGTCAATAGTCGTGCCTGCATGTTTTCGAGATCATAAATTTCTCAATCCAGTCATATCTCAAATAACTGTATCACTCGGACTCCGTCTTTTGAGCATGACAATGTCAATAGCTTTGGCGAGAGCTTTCAAATGCATAAGACCTTTGCAGAAATCTGTGACGGCATAGCTAAATGCATTATACAGGCCTGGGAAAATGCATTTGCGCGCTTTCCTGATTATAAGATTTGTTTATGGTTCATAACAATCCAAGACAGCGATTGCAAAGCCAAAAATCGAAAGTAGATTGGTGCTTGGACACTGACCACAAGTGCATAAGCATCCGTGACAAGCCAGATGCGTTTTTCAGGGCTGGAAAAATGCATTTGCCTGTGGCTTTCTACCGACGGCTAAGTTGCGCTCTGTCGGTTTCACGGAATCTAAGGCTTTGTGCGATATTTAAAAAGGAAAGCCATAGAAACATAAGAGCATGTTCGAAAATCAAAGGAGCATTTTGGTCGTTTCCGACCAGCCCACAGCAAAGAGACACATGCCCAAATGCATTTTAAGGGGCTGGAAAAATGCATTCGGTTAGCTTTCCTTGCAAATCTAAAGCAGATCTTTTGGCTGTTTCCGACAAGCCCACAGCAAAGAGACACATGCCCAAATGCATTTTAGGGAGCTGGAAAAAATGCATTCGGATAGCTTTCCTTGCAAATTTAGAGCAGACCTCGTGTTGTGTCGAAGCAAAAGAAGAGGCAATGTGTCCTTCAAAGCACATCCAAATACGTGTATCGAAGCTGCAAAAATGATGGTTTTCAATCGCAAATACAGAGAAACACATAGGTTTTTTGCCATGTTGAATGGTTTTCCATTGGAAATATTAAAAAACACATAGGTTGTTTGCTGTTTTCAATGGTTGTGAACTAAAACGACAAAGGCTTTGTGCTATTTTCAATGGTTTTCAATTGTAAAATAGCAGAAAACCAATGGGCAAATACGGCGAAATACTGCTTGCAGCACCACCAAATGCATTATTCAGGCCTGAAAATGCCTTCGCGGGCTTTCCGGACTAATAGAATCGTTTATGATTCATAACAATCCAAGACCAAGACCACGATTGCAAAGCCAAAAATCGAATTTAGATTGGTGCCTGGACACTGACCACAAGTGCATAAGCATCCGTGACAAGCCAGATGCGTTTTTCAGGGCTGGAAAAATGCATTTGCCTGTGGCTTTCTACCGACGGCTAAGTTGCGCTCTGTCGGTTTCGCGCAATCTAAGGCTTTGTGCGATATTTGAAAAGGAAAGCCATAGAAACACAAGAGCATTTTCGAAAATCAAAGGAGCATTTTGGTCGTTTCCGACAAGCCCACAGTAAAGAGACACATGCCCAAATGCATTTTAGGGGGCTGGAAAAATGCATTCGGATAGCTTTCCTTGCAAATTTAGAGCAGATCTCGTGCTGTGTCGAAGCAAAAGAAGAGGCAACGTGTCCTTCAACGCACATCCAAATACGTGTATCGAAGCTGCAAAAATGATGGTTTTCAATCGCAAATACAGAGAAACACATAGGTTTTTTGCCATTTTGAATGGTTTTCCATTGGAAATATTAAAAAAAACGCATAGGTTGTTTGCTGTTTTCAATGGTTTGAACTAAAACGACAAAGGCTTTGTGCTATTTTCAATGGTTTTCAATTGCAAAATAGCAGGAAACCAATGGAACATCCTGTTTTTACTTTGGCTGCGGCTGTGTAACTGTCCGACGAGGAAGTCGTCAAGTGCTCACTGTGGCTGTAGCTGGTTTCCAGACGATCGTAAGCTTTCGCTTGTTTCTACCCGTACGACAAGGAAGTCGTCAAGTGCTCACTGGGGCTGCAACTGGTGTGCGCAGAAGCGTACGCTTCCGATGGTTTGCTTTTGTGCTGCTGCTGCTGCTGCTGCTGATGTCATTGACAAGCTTCTCTCAGGCAGGGAACGTAATTAGTCGCAGCGTCAAGCGATTGACGAGTCAGGTCGCTTGGACGATCGCCAATAATTTGGTGCATGACGTGTACACGCTTCGCCAGGTAGTTTCTGAGAGAGAGTTGGCTAGTCTTCACCTCGCAGCTTGGGCAGGGCGAGAGTGAAAAAATGGGTTTTCCGCTATGTTCAATTGTTTTCTGTTGCAAATACCAAAAAACCCATAGGTTTTGTCTTATTTTTCCATGGTTTCCTATTGTAAATACCAAGGGAGCCGGCTGAGAGCACGGCAAAATACTGCTTGCAACACCACCACCAAATGCATGATTCAGGCCTGGGAAAATGCATTCGCGCGCTTTCCGGACTAATAGAATCGTTTATGGTTCATAACAATCCAAGACCAAGACCACGATTGCAAAGCCAAAAATCGAATTTAGATTGGTGCCTGGACACTGACCACAAGTGCATAAGCATCCGTGACAAGCCAGATGCGTTTTTCAGGGCTGGAAAAATGCATTTGCCTGTGGCTTTCTACCGACGGCTAAGTTGCGCTCTGTCGGTTTCGCGGAATCTAAGGCTTTGTGCGATATTTGAAAAGGAAAGCCATAGAAACACAAGAGCATTTTCGAAAATCAAAGTAGCATTTTGGTCGTTTCCGACAAGCCCAAACGCATTTTGGGGGGCTGGAAAAGTGCATTCGGATAGTTTTGTTGCAAATTTGGAGCAGATCTTTTGGCTGTTTCCGACAAGCCCACAGCAAAGAGACACATGCCCAAATGCATTTTGTTCCAATTTTGGCATTATGTTCCAAAGCGGGAATATTCGGACTGCACCGGCTAGAAAACCCAGCGTGGATGGTACGAATGTCGGGCCATGGATGATATGGACATCATTATGCTTGGAAGTGGGGAGGCACCTCTGGGGGGGGGGAAATAACCTAACCTAGCACTAACCTAAACCCTAAGCCCAGCTTCCCTTGATTAGGGGACCCCAAAAATATAAAACTAAACGCTGGGCCCTAAACCCGACCTAGCCCGCTTTCCCCCAAAATTTGGGGAGCAAGGCCCTAAACCTTTTGCCGGATTTCCGCTGCAAAATTGGGGACCTCGGCAAAACCCT